ATTCTACTGGTTAAAACACTAGTTTGAATTGCTAACCTACCCCTTTGATCTTTCTCAATGTCTCCAGCCCATATGTGCAATAATTAAAGACATAGTTCACAAACTATTGCAAAAAAAAAATAAAATAAATAAATAACTGTACATGTACATCTAGATCTCCACAACCAGCCTGACTGGTATCAGGAATTATAAATCAGCAGCCAGTTTATGAAAACATGTCTCATCTTGACATCCACTGTGTGTCTCACACCAGTCTAGCAATAAAATAAGGTTTGGGGTTTATAACATTACATTCTGAGGAGTTATCAAAGCAAGGCAGGATGTGACTTCCTCACAAGGAGCACAAAGGACAACTTGCACATGTTTTTGGGAGCAGGACATTAATCAGCCAGGAATTATGTTAGCAGCAGTCAAGATTGCTGTGATTTTAAATATGAACGAACAGATTCCTCCTCAGGACAATTACTCAGTGGTGAGAATCAGTTTACAACTGGATTCTCCATATAAATCACACCCTGCATTCAAAACAGACACAGGGGTCGTGGAGAAAAGGAGAAAATTCAAATTAACCAGAAAATAGTTGCTGTCACTGCCTGGAATATTTTCAAGGGGAAATAAAAGTGTTTTCAGAAGCAAGTTGTCATAAGAAAAAAAGTTACAGAAAAGCAAAAATCACAAAGAAATTATGTCATATCTGCCTTTTCTTGTCCCCTCATATGGGCCACATTTGTGTGAACAGTAAGCAACACACGTTCTTACATTTTAACAAGAATATTCACCAGAATTAAAAACCTTAACAATCTTGGAAATCAGCATGATATTTATAAGCAGAAGTATGGCTTGGACAGTCCCCAGTGAACAGGATGACAAAAGGGAAAAGCAAAGGAAGAGAAGTGGAAGAATAGAGGGATAATAAGAAAAAAATAAATTCCAACACACGAAGCTTCAGTTATTTTTCGACTCAGGTTTTGGGCCCATTCAAATGCTTCCAGAAAGTTCATCAAAACCACTCTCCTCCTGTTATTAAAAAGCACAAACAGCCCCAGCACATATCTGAGGAGGCTCCTTGAGCTGTATCCAGCTCTCCTGATTCCATCCACAGATGTTTATATATCCATCCACTGAGATTTAAACTCTAGAGACACACACAGACACGAGCACACACTTTTAACTCAATGTATTACACAAGAGAACAATACTGATGTGTTTTGTTACCATCCTTGGAATACATGAATAAAATGCTTCTTTTCAATGAAGAAAAATATAAAATCTGTGATGTAGCTAAAAGCACAGTAATGTTAATTTTACAGTGGTTTAATTACAAGAGTCCTTGTTTTAGGATATTGTCTCCATATTTGGATTATTTATTGCTTGTATTTGGCATGAATTTCATATATTTAAATACTTCACTATGGAACAGGACAATTAAGAGGAAGAAATCAAACCCAGCAGGACAATGCCCACTGATCACCATCTCCTAATTGCAGGGACTCTTATCTTCAAATATTCTTTCCCTTCCCTTTTCCATGCTAACACCAGCCAGTTTTATTCACTCTCCCTCCTGAGTTTTACAACTTTCTTTCCTCCCTGCATTCTTTCCCCTACATTCTCTATATGGTCCCTCTTGGGGGAAATCCATATCACAGCCCTCATGCAATTTGCTCTGTTTCAAGTTATAATCTCCTGCCAGATAAGTGAGAAGCACAGTAAATCTGCTGCTTTCAACACCTTCCATCCAGAGCCCTTTTAGCCAGACCACGACTTAACTATATCAGCACTGCAGATTTTATCTTCATGGAAATATATCACTAGATCCCAACACTTCTGGTACAATAAAACCATATAAATGGCTTGATGATCTTTATAAACAAAATTTGTGTCAAGCAGTAAAAGGGAGTGCTCATTCCCAAAATAAAAGGAGAAAAACAGAAATAAAGATTGCAAAGATGAAGGTCCTAAATAGCTTTTTAAAAAAGGCTGCATCCTAAAGATAAGACTTCTTGAGTCACAAACCCATAAAACACTCTTCACTTTCCATGTTACTTCTGGTCCTTGATCTATGAAGATGCATTTTCAGGGAAAAAAAACAACAAATTAGGTATTTTTCCCATTCTCTGTGTTTTCTGATATCTTACAGCAGCTATCTCACCTCTCCTTTTGCTCTGGTGTGCTCTCTCTTCCTCATTCCCCACCCCAAACTGCTGGAAGTTATCCCACAGGTGTTCTCCTGAAAACCCAGGCACTGCCTTCCCCAGAATTCCTCCTCCTCCCCCCAGGCTGCACAACCATTTAGTCTGGGCTGCTTTAGCACACATGAAGCTGGAAAAGCACCAGTGGCTCCAGTGGCCAAAGGCTTTATCACTGGATTCCCAAAAATCAAAACAGAGGAGTGACAGGAGCACAGTGATAAAATCAACAAAAACATTGGAAATGCTCAATGTTCTCAGTTAACCCAGAGAGATGAAGCTTCAAAATTTATTGCATAAAGCATTGAGCTTGCCAGATTGTCTGAAAAATAAATAAATTAAGAGCTGGTACACAACTCAGTATAAATTTATTCCACGTATAACCTTCAACTGAAAAGTGAAAAGTATTTCCAATATGCCTCTGATTTGTTTACGCTTCCTTTGTTGAGATAAGATAAATAAATATCTTTGCTTACAAATAATAAAATAGAAGGAAATTGAGAAAAAAATGCTAATAATAAATAAGACTGACAAAATGAAAAATTAAGAAAGTGAACTTCTTTAAAGAAACACCAAGATATCTTGGAGTAATGTATCAGATAAACCAGTTGTTTGAGAAAGGTTAGAAGAAATCAGTTTATTAACATAGCTGATTTTATTTTCTCCTTCCAGAAGAAATCCAAACCTGTATCTTAGCAATGCTACTGAATCTGTTTTTCTGCAAAATCACAAATCAGACTTTTCCTTTCCCCTTCCTCTGCCCCGTGGAGCTCTGGGTGACACAGGGTGGCCAGAGGTGAAGTTCAAAGGGACATTTTCCCTTTTTATCAAGACAGGCCAATCACCCCATCTGTCGTGCTTTGCTGTCCTGCTGAACATGGATTTATTCCTGTTGGGTTGCATCTCCCGTGTTTAAACCCATGATTTTTCAGTAATGACCATTTCCCAAAAGGTTTAATCCATGTCAGAAGTATCTGGGGAAGGGAGATGACTAAAAGCCGCTGCCTGATGACATCGGCGTTCTCGCAGGGCTGTGATGTGGTTATCACTGCTCATGGCCATGTGTTCAGCATTACAGAGCCTAAACAGGTGCAGGAATGCTTTATGAACAAAGGTCTAAAGGTTAAAAGCAAAAAACCCCACAGTTATCCTATTTTATGTTCTCCCCTTGTACTACAAAGAGGTTGAAAACAGTTGAAGGTTCCCCCAGACCTTTTTGTACAGCACCATTTCTCTGCTAATACATTCACGTTCTATAAATGAAAAGGACTTGATTCCTAATTGAGCTTCACAAACAAAGTAAGATGAAAACTCATTTAAGTTTTCTCGTTAATAGCACACACATGGTGATTGTGAAACGCTGTCTGTAACCTTTCCAGTTCAATCCAGCACCATTAGCAAAAAGTCCTGGATTTTTTAATGTGTGGCTTAGAGGATTTTTCCACTGAACTAACAAAGTATTAACTGGGTATTTTATGTATCTCCTTGGCATGCATTCCTGTTTATTTAATTTGAAAATATTGTTTAAATGACAACATTGTGCTTTCAATTTATTTATTTCTTGGGCTATTTTCACATCTTATGAAACCCTGCCTCATCCTGAGGCACTGGTGGTTTGAACATTGTCAATACAAAAGAACAGTCAATAGCAAAGCAGAGAAAGGGAAAGGCACGTGGATTCTGCAGCTGCTTGGCTGAGCATCAAGTGAGGCAGCCAGGTAGCACCAGAAAACATTTCATACACATTATTTTATTAGCAGCTGAAGGGTCTGCTAACCAGTTTTACCCTTCTCTGTATCTCTGCTAAAGATGTTTTCTGAATTGTCATGAAAGTATCTTCAGGACAGTCCCAATCCATGTGTCCTTATAAGACACCAAGGAAATGGAAGAATATTTTCCTGCTTTCCCCCCCAACTCAGACATATTTGGGGTACTTTGTGGGTTTAGATCCTTCTGGATAGTAGGGAACATATACATATGTCTCAATTTTCCAAGAGCATATGGCTGAAATCAGAAATTTTAGGTGAGACAAACAGAGCTGAGTGCTGAATTTGGTTTTTTTGTTGTTTTTTCTTTATGATTGGTTGGTTTGGTTTGAGGTTCTATTCATCGTTTTTCAAATGCCTTTTCCTAACCTTCAGATTCCTTTTCTGCCCATTAATTTGCTGTCTTTCAAAAAAAGAAATGTGTTAAATAAAATGAGCAGTTTGTGACAAAATACCTCAGGCAGTCAACTTCCTCAAAGCGTGAAAAAGGTGAAAATGACCACAAAATTTTACTTTTACACATATTAAAAGCAAAAATACATGGTGTGAGAAAATTAGATAGCAAAGCTTGGACAGCAATCTCAGGAATTCACAATGTTAGAAAGAAAGACATAAAGTAAAACCCCATATGATCAGAAGAGGATTGGAGTTCATTGAGGCAAATACAGAAATAATATAGATCCTATCAGAAATAAAGTCAAAATCCAATTTTAATTAGAAAAAATCAAATTCTAATTTTTAATTTTGAAAGGTATATGGAAAGTAAACAAGATCAAATCACTAAATCAAAGGTTTCACTGCTTCTATTAAAAGGTAATTTGGAAAATTCCTAGAATTCAAACTTCTCTCCACTAAAAATTATTTCAAAGGATCGGTAAATGTGTTCAGAAAGTATTTTTTTTTACTCCCTAAATAACTGGGAAATCCATGAAGTATTTAATGACAAGCCCTGTCACTTCAGCAAATTTCTCTTCCATGCAATTTTCTGCTACAATAACTTCCTTGTTAATGCCCTTTTTCCAAGGAAAATGCCTTAAAAGAATCCTACCTCTTTCTCCTGCATTCGGAACAGCTCATGGTTTTCTCGAGAGGGGCTGCTCTCTCCAAGGTCAATTTTAGGTGTCTTCTGTTGAAGAAAAAGTTCAAAACAGCAAATGAAGTCAAAAACAGTAAATCCAAGTACAATCAATCCCAACCAGCAATTAAAGATAACATAAAATGCTTGTTTGCCCTTCTGAAATATCAAGGGAATAGAAATACCTACCCAAGTCACCCGTTTTTCTCGCAGATATCTGGGGTTTTCTATCTGAAAAACAAGGCAGAGAAAAATCAGCAGGTCAACAACGTCTGATTTAGTCCAAGATATCATAACTGAACTATATTGAGCACAGGAACTGCATCACTCAAAGAACTACAGATGAGATGACAACATACCTTAAATGTTACAGAAATAGGAGATCTTTCTAAAAGATCACTTGGTTGGAAATCTGCTCAGCAATTTTGATATTGTAAATGGACAAAAAATTGCACTTTTTTTCCCTCCCAACTCTTGTGGTTGTAAAAATTCCATCAATGCATATTATAAAAATATTTGGCAGCTACATACATAGGCTTATTCAAAAGATTTCCAACTTTATTGGCTAAATTCTCATTGAAATCAGTGTAAAGCTACAATACATTTACAGATTATATTGACTAAAATCTGGTGCTTTTGAAAAATTACAGTTGGGTGCGTTGAAACTAGAGCCACACATGTAAGTTATAGAGACAAAACATAAGGAAATAATTCATTAATATGGCTACATAATTAAAACAGTTCTCTTAATCACTGTTTTTAAGAACTGGATACAAAGCATTGTTCCCAACCCACTTCCTCTATCAGACAGTTCTATCTTTCTCATTTTCTCAAACAGTGAGGGCTCAAACATCACATCACAGAGAAAGCAGAATGCCCAAAAAAAGCTTTCAAGGGTATAATCTTGTAAAATGTGGCAGTGAGATTTGGAATATGAATGAGATGGCAGTACACATTAAAAAAAAGAAAATGTTGTAGGATTAGGTTGATCTACGAAGCATGGCAAATATATCAAATGCTTGCACTTTCTGCAGTAGTATGAAATAAATTTGTGTGTTGAATTTATCAGTGGAAAAGAGGCTTAATCCCTCTGAAATTTCAATTTGATACAGTGTTATTCATTTCCTGTCCCAAAAGGTGATGTAGGATTTCTGTGTGGTGTTGAGTTGTCATATCTCGGAAACCAATAATTGAACAATAACCTATTTATTGTCAGGGAGTTTACTAAAACAGACTAAACTTTCTTTCACACAAAGTACCCTGTGTTGGCATCCATGGGCAGCCACCAGGGAATGAAGGAATCCTGGGTGCATCCACTGCCACAAAAATGAGGAATTTTGGACACAGAGGAGATTGTGAGGAGAGGAATACAGGAGAGGGCTCAGCCTGGAGCACCAACCACAGGAGATCCAGTGGAGAGGAAGGAAAAGCAAATCGATTTTCTTTGTCCTACACATTTGTACCTGCAACAGGATTTTTTACTTCCATTTTACTGCTATTATGTTCCTCCTCCCACTTCAGTTTGGCCACTTCCCCATCCAGCCCACACTCCTCATCACCCCCAGGGCTGAAGGTGTTTGCCAGAAGCTCAAGGTGCTCCCCAGTTTGGCATCACTGGGAGCAGTGGAAGCCTTCACCAATACCTGGTGGAATCTGGAGAAGGCTGCAGAGCCACATTTCAAAAGCTTAACGATTTCCCAAAGCCCTGTCTCTCGTGCAGAACCACCCTTGACTTTGGCTCTTTTTAAAGCTAAAAATTGTTGTAAATATTTACAATTAATTAAAATCCTTTGTCTGCCCATGACATTCAGCTGTTGGCAGCCTTCACTTCAAAACCAATCTGAAAAGCTTAGGTACATCCTACTTGTTTATGGGAAAGAAGGAAAACGTTTCTCTAATACTTGGTAGGGCCCAAGTCTTGCATTTTTTGATTTTGTAACAGCAGCCATATGTGCTTTGAAGTTAAATGTTCCCACTTTGTTACTTGTTGTGGATTATATCCACTTAAACTGATCTGTAAACATTTAATGCCTCAACATTCATTTTTTTCATGCCGGTCTTCTGCAAAACTTCTTGTTCTCCAAATTAGACCACATTAAAGAGGGAATATCACAATAAAGAATGCCCCAAAAAAGAAAAAAAAAGGTCTGTATTTATGAGAAACATGCAAATTTAAAAATAATAAGCAAAAGGTCAAAGACAAGCCAAAATGCATATGTATGAAACTGAATGACTGCCATGAGAAGAGCAGTAAATCACATGCTTTTTTAGGAGTATGAACCAAATAAATGTCATCATGAAAGACATCTTTATTTGAACTAGAACTGAACTCTAATTTGTAAATACCACTTCTTAACAGAAATGGTATTTTGAATGTCTTTGTAGAAAAGATTTTGGATTCTCCTGTTCTATTAGGCAGTCTGACAAGGAATCACGTTTCAATTTGTGTGGAATGCAATGGTCACCTTCTCCTCCAAAACCAGAGCTGTGAAGGTGTTGGGTGATCAGATCCCCATGAAGAAATCCCCATCACCTAACAGAGATAATCTGCTTCATTAAAATATATATTTTTTCTTAAATTGAAAAAAAAAGTATTGCAGAAACATACATAAAAATAAAATTCCGAGACTGCATTTCAGGCAGATGGGCAATAATCTGTAACTTCAGTATTTTTAATTTCTATTTATTTTAACAACACTTAAGTCATCAAAGAGAAATATTTATGAGTTATACAATTTTAAAGCTATCAGCGAGTGAAGCACTGACAAAAGTTGAAATGCTTTCCCCCAAAAGCAAGGACAGTGCAGGAAAAGCACAATTCTGAGCTTTAACTACCTCCACAAGTCCCATCCTCATCAATTATATTCCATCCCTCAGGCTGAAAATACTGTCCAGGCTTTCTATCTGTGCACTATATCCCAGTCCAGAAACTCCCACCAAAGCTCTGCTCTTTTGCTCAGTAAATACCACAACAATGACAACACTGAAGTCACGGTTCCAAACTACCCCTCCAAAGTCACGTTCCGCTCTTTGGAAGATGTTTATCCAGGGATGGTTATCTCCAATAATGCCCAACTGCAGCCTGTGTCAGTCCACTCACAGAATATTGTAAATATTAAGACTCAGAGAACAAAACCCCCACACTTGCATCTGTAGGCTGATTGTACATTCCCCCCAAGCTTCATCAAAGACAAAACGGGATTGTTTTCAAAACAAGGATGACAAAAACACACATGAAAGAGTTAAGAACACTTAAGACTTTGAAATGGTAAACAACTAAACTGAACCTTGCCCTAAATTCTTACTTTAATCTACCAAACCCAGCCAGCCAGCATGTTCCCTACAGAAATAACTGCTGAGTAGCTTCAGGAAATTTGAGTAAGGACATTCTTATCTAACATCATAATTTGTAGGGAAGTTCACTTTAATGCTGCTGCTGCAGTCTTAGTGGAAGGACATTAAAGCACATGAAGGCTGTTTGTCAGCATGGAAGTTGAATTTATTTTTTGAAGTCGCAACACCACTTGGAGTTCACTGTGGGAAAGTTTTTCCAGCACTGCTGCCCTCCAAGGCCACAACATATACAGTAGGTATGTTTATAGTAAGCAGCCAGACTGAGAAACCAAACAAAAGATAATCAAATGGCTTGTGCAAAAATGGTTGAGCTTAACTAGACTGGAAAGACACAGGCAGATGTGAGCCAAGCACACAGAACAGGCACAGCATCCACTGCTGCTGCAGCCTCCCAGGAATTCCCAACGCTCCATCCATTTAACCCTGTGTTATAACACTTTTCTCCAAGGAAGAAGAAAGGAATGCAGCCACCAACCACTGAATTTCTTTGGTCTCAGCCTTCTGAAACTTTTACTAGGCAGTAACATTTCCCAGGACAAATTCTTCTGGGCAAGACTGAGTGTCCAGTCAGTCCCACATCATTTGTGGTAAAAGCTAAAGAGTTAATTCTTGTCCTGGCTGAATTCCAGTGATGAAAAATTGTGTTCTCCCTGATTAAAAAGCCCTTTGCTGTTTCCCCAGGGTACAATCTCTTTGTGTGCTTTCTACCTAAAATGATGTGCTGAATTTCTCAGGATGTTTGAAAGAAATGCTTTGTCACACCTAAAATTGGCTACAATTTAGTGACAAATGAATCTGCATCACAGGCATCATGAAAGACAGAGTGAGAGACAGGCAGGTAAGGCAAGAATTTGCAGGCATTTAATCCACTGCTGTTCCTTTACATAACTTTAATTTTTTTATCCAAAAATTATGTTTGCCGACAATCTAAAAAGCTCAGCTAAAGAGAAAAAAAGAAAAGGGAAAAAAAAGGCAGTTTAATTCCATTATCCAATGAAGTTCTTTTCCAGACACTACACATATCTTCCACAATATTAAATTATTTTAGAGACATAAACAGGAGATGGTCACCTTCCTCTCAGTTATGAAGTGCACTAGAGCTGCAACAATATGCAGAAATTTATTGACAGCTGTTGATGAAATAAGACCACAGAATCACAGAAAAGTCTGGCCTGGAAGGGACCTTAAAGTTCTGATTCCCCTAGCCCAAATTACTTTTATTATATTCTAAGATGGCTGAAGAATGACAAAGAAAGTTCAAAGTACCAACATGACCAAAGATTACTGGTATTTATTTGCCTCAGCTTCTGGCTCTGAAACTTTTCCTCTCAAACAGCCACACAAAAGGATTTCTGCTTTTCTACATTGCAAATGCAGCTTCAAGGCATGAACACCTGACAAAGGACAGTCCCCACATCAATTTAGATAAGAGACAATACAGGCTGAGAAAAAAACATTTTATAATGTATGTAAAATGAGTGTAAATTAGTATTCCATGTATGAAAGGCAAATTTATCACAATCAAAACTCAACTTTTTTTTCAAACATTTACTCATGCCTGATTAGAATCGAAAGAACTTGAATAATAAAATGTTTGATAGGGATAATCAGGAATGCTGCAAGGAAAAGAGGAAAATTCTTTTATTACTCACAAAAAGTAATAATATCAGTAAAGTAACACAACAGATTTACTTCTCCTGTAGAAAATGTTATTATTAAGAATATCTGAAGTCTTCAGATTAGACTGTTAAGCTTTGACCTCTCAGCTTAGTAAAGAAATCATAAAAGCATTTCCCAAAACTTTTCACAGTATTTTTAATAATAATATTAATAAAAAAATCTCAATCACTGATGTCGGTATATCGTGAAAACTGAAAATACACCCAGAATGTGACCTTAAAAATACAAGAGCTTTGAAGAAGAGGAAATTTAGAATATATTAAAGAAGCAGGAGGCTGAAAGATGACAGTAAAATTAAATTAACAATTTATAACTGGTCACTTCAATGCACACAAGCCCAAGCTGGAGCAGTGGAGGCTCAGCAGAACCTCACAGCTGGAAGACACCAGGACTGTCCCACCAATGTGTGCACCCAGCTGGGTACTGGCAGATTCCTGGATAAAAGCATGGCCTCCATATAAACTTGTCTGAAATACTCACAGCTTCCTAAAATTCCAGATTCTTACCAAGAAAAATCCTCATACAAAGATTGGTATAACCAAAAAAACCCAAGGAAAGTTTAAAAAGATTTTCAAGACAACAGCTCTTCAGCCCAGGCAGCTCAAAGTGAAAACCATTCAGTATCTCCTTTCCTATCTAGCCCCACTACTGAAGTATTTTTTTGGGTCAAGGGTCTTCTGTATCTGAGGTGGGATCATAGTAAATTAAACAATTTGAAGCTGGGAGTAGCAATTAAAGGCCAACAAGATGCTCCCATAGCAATTTAAATGCTTGCAAATAACAGCAGCCACATCTGACACTCAAACCTTACAGATTCCAATGGGCTGCCATCATTTAGTGGGATTTTTTTATTTTTAGCAATGACATATTCTTTTAGTGTGACACTCCACTTAAAACTTCCTGACCCTTTCAGAACCCACTGGAGGCCGTGATCCACAGCAGGGAAACGCTGTTCAGCACAACCCCTCACAGACCTCTCTTTTACAACCTCCAATCCTCTTTGTCAGGTAACTCCCAACAAGTCTTATCAGGCAATCAAAGTCTCTCATGAGAGACTTCTTTAATTACCATCCCTGGAGAGGAGACTTGAAAAACTGATTTATGTGCCACGGTAGCCAATTTGTTATCCAAGGGAGCTCCCGTATCAGCAGAGGATCATCACAGTTTAATAACCAGCCATTATCAACACAACATGATTGCAAACTGGAATTTCAATTAGGAAAAGAAATAAAATACAAATAAAATGACAGAGATAAGAGATAAGCAGGCAGGCAGATCGACACTGATATAAAAATGCAGGATATAAAGAGATCCTTTGTCAGCATCAGTTGGTGTAATTTGTAAAATAGCCATGAGCAAGTTTTCCCCCTTAAAGCAGCTTTAAAAGCTCAAGGTATTACAGCTTCCTGTTCATATCATGCAGTGGATAAATACAGCCCAAATATCCAAAATCTGCAAGTGGTTGCACCTTTGTTTCAGGCACCTGTTGGAAATGGGAAGAGAAACACCAAGAAGGACAGAAAACCATTCATATCCTCTGTTATCATTTCTGATTGCACTGAAGAGAACTTGGCCATCCATGAAAAGCCTGGAGTGTAATAGGCAAGATTTTTAAATGCTGTCATATCCCTCTGGACTGACAATAGTGTAGAAAGAATAAAGATCATTTGGCAGCTGATTCAAATGACAACATAAAAATACGTGACTATGTTTCAAAAAACAAGGCTGAGCTATTTTGTTAAATTCGTTCTCATCACTTCTAACTTTGGCTGCAACTCTGTGAGCTTTCAACCTGTGAGAATAAGCACAAAAGGAGGAAGAAAAGAAAGAAGAAATCTCCCTGTTAAAATCAAAGTGATCTTAATAAAACTAAATTGCTGTAAGGTTATTAATCCTAATGAAATAGGTTAAAGAATTGGTGGTACAAATGAAAGGGTTACAAAAAAGACAAAACAACACAATAGAAAAAAAAAACATTTAAAATACAGCTACAGAGAAGAGGTACTTCATTGTCACCTTAGAATTATCATGGAGTAATACCACAGAAAATACAACCAAAGGGAGTAAAGTCTTACAAGAGTAACAAATTTGAATTATTGAAAGGGAAAGAAAGAGGTGAACATACAGAAATGCCTCCTTTCAAAAGGAGGCCCACTGAACAAAAAAAACTGAGTTGTATTAATGGCTTGCAAATTCTGTATTGGTTAAAAAAATAAACACAGAAACTCTTCTTCATTTATACAAGTATAAGTAAAAAATAATGCTACAGAGTCATCAAGAATTAGTCTGAATTTCTACCAGAGTAAGACTTGGTTTTGACCAGCAGCCATTATTTTGCCTGATTTATGAGTAACCATATTAAAGGTATGAAGATTATTATTACATAAAATTTAATATTTTCTTTTCATACATTCATAAATAACCTTTCCAAGCCCTAGCAAGTCATTTCTAAAAGATGGATTCCTACATGAAGTTTTGTTGGCTAAGCTCAGAAAGCAAACTACACTGCTGAGAAGTGCTCACTGCAAGTTAATAAATAAGTAAAGTACTCAGTTTATTTTACCCCAAGATTCCAACTATTGAGTCGTGCTTCGAGGTCATCATCATCCAATGAAAAGTTTCTTTTGTGTTGATCATCCTAGAACATAAAAAAAGTCAAAGAAAATATCAGAATTGCTAGCAGAGACATAATTTAAAATCAAACTTCTCACTGTCCTGGCCATAGCTTCACTGAGCTTCCTAATAGTGTCACAATACTTCTGACAGCTTTCCCCTAAACAGCTCAGTTTCCAGAAGATACTAGGCTGAGAAATCAGTTCAGAGGATAAATTAACCCAGCCCTCCACTTTAATGTTCTTCTTTATTTATTTCCAAAGCAATGGTCTCCTTTACAGAGGGTGACTTTATTAAAAAACCCAAAATACTCCATTTTCAGGCATCAATTCATCTCCACAGTAATTGTTCTGGGGATAAGCCAAAATTCAGAGATCACCTGATCAGCCTCCCATTAAAAAAACTGATTTAAAAATGAAAGGAAACCTCAGCAAGGCAGGGATGGTTATCAAAGCAGAGGACAGAGCAGCTGCTGCCCAGCTTCAGGGTATTCCTGATTTCCAGCATCCAGCCAGGCTGTAGTTATTGCTGCTCCAAAAAGAATTGTCTCTCAGAAGAGAAGTTTTTCCTGTGGGATAACAGTAACTACCAACATTTAATGTATCACACGTTTTCCTTGGATGAGGTACTTAGAAAATCAACATTTAAGCCTGAATGATTTTGTCTCATTAAGTGAGGTTTGTGTATGGACCTTCTTTAAATCTCATTTGTCACAAGCATCCAGTGAACAGAGCTTGGGCTGCTGTTAATTCACACTTGGTTAAGGCAGCTCTTAATGTTTCTTAAAAGCCTCCCTGCTCCTCTACCTGGGCCTGAGTGATGGCAGAACATCTGAGCATCCCTGACAATGGAACAAGGTATTGCTTGTTCCAGCCAGCCAAACATTACCAAACTGACTAACTAAGAGAGGATTATTTCACTTAAAGGCCCTTTTAAAGCTGTAATCACAGGAGAATCCAGTATATGGAGCTGAAGAACACTAAAGTGCAGTGATTTGTCTAACACTGACCTGGAAGCTGCAGCAGAGCCAGCAATAACAAAAAAAAAAATCTTAAAAATAAACAAATCAAATCAGCAAAACTCCCCCACAAAACTTTAAAGCCCCAAATCCAGGTTTCAACCGAAGAATATAATTTTTTTTTTACAATAACTCTTCCACAAGGAGTACTTCCTGAAGTAAAAATAAACAGGAAACCAATAAGGAGGAATGTAGTAAAGCCAGCATGTGGTTTTATTTTTAATTATGGCATTTCTGTATTTAAATTGCATTTGTATACATACAATCAACACACACATAAATCCATAGACAGCAATCAGAGCCTAGAGCACAGACACTGATTTTTGCCCACTGAGCACCTGTAACCTGCCCTGATAAACCATCCCCTTGCTAATCCTCTATTCCAGATGCACAGCAGAACACAAATTTCCTCAGAAAAGAGCTTCCAGCTTATCCTATTTGCACTTCATGTCCTCATAAATTCTCAACTGTGCCCAGCTGCAATCTTTCTAAACTATTCATCTGATGGAATCAAAAATGAAGCGTGGGCAGAGCTGGAGGAACAAACAGGAAATTCAGTGTTCACGGAGGGGTGAGGGTTGTTCTAGGTGTGGTGAAGGACACTGCAAAGCCACAGAGCACATTCTGGAAGGTAAACAGCACGTTTCTTGGTATCACACATTTGTCAGGAGTAACTGTCAGTGCAAAGCTTGCAATTAAATAAAAAACATCATTGAATATTTTGGACTCAAAGGGTTTCAGACAAAGTCTGTTCAATGCCCTTTCATCAGTCAAAATGCTCGTTGGGGAAAGTCTGATGAAACAAACTGTCCAAAATTCACTCTTTCAGAGGTCAACCCTTACTGAACAGAGCCAGAGGCATCTCTGCAGCTTTCTTTAATCTGTTATTGCAAAATACAAGATGATGTCAATGCAGGCACGTTGCCAAGCCTGGGGAAAACAATGCAGCAGACACTGAAAACACAACACTAAACAGAGGTCAAGCATTAAGATGAACTGAGAGCATCCTACAAGAAATTCTTTTCCCCTACACTGCAGAGGACAGATTTTGATGAGCTTTAGTCCTCCCTATCACTCCCTCCCAAATGTCTGCACCTTTACAGGGATCATGACCCACACAGCAGGAAATAACAGCTTTACAGGGATATATAAAAGCATCTCAGGGAAAGCAAAGCTTTAGGACAAAAAGGAGAAGCATCTTACAGACAGTGACGTGCCTAGGTCATCTTCATCTGTCCGGTGAGAAGAAAGCAGACAACAGGACACTGCTGATGGCTTCTCACTGAATCTTTCCCTGTTATTAATGACAAGAGGAAGCAGAAAAATTCATTTTCAGCAACTTGTGCACACAAAGGACGTTAATCACAGAATAGAATCGGCTAAAATATACACAAGAAAATAACAGTCAAGATGGAAAGATTTTAAAAAAAAGGAGAAAAAAGAGAAAGTTTTGATGTTAAAGGCAAACAAAAGCCATAAGTGTTCCATTAAAAAAACACCACCATAAAACCCCACACCAAAAAACCCACTAGAAATATTGTGTGCATGTCAGTACATTAAAAAGTATTCTTTGCTTTTCTTTTACTACATGACCCAACGTCTCCCAAAGGATTTTAGGATAAATCCAAGCTAAGGAGAGGGCTGATCTAAGAGAACGTTTTTGAAACAAAATGGCTAAGAGTATGAAACAAGTTAAGATGGAGTCCAGTAACTCAGAGAAGAAAGAGGAATTAAGGGGGTGGTTGGTTGCACCATAGGGGAGACTTTTAAGAGCAAAAAAATAGATTAGAACAAGGTAAATGGTCCTATAACACACAAAGGGCAAGAACAACACACACAGCTCTGTACAAGAGCAGTGGCTTGAAAGGCTAAGGTGGAGAGGAACGAGTCACAAAGATTATCTTGGTTTCATTTCATTTCTGTTTTATGGACTAAATTGAGATTTATGGGGGATGGTAAAGAAATGCCCACAAGACAGTACACAAGCACAGCAGGACCAAGTGCTCTGTCCAGCACAGGGATTTTCTGGAAAAGCTATTGTTGTAAATAAAACACTTGAACAAAGGGAAATGCAGATCAGAAGATAGGTGAAGAGAATTGTCACGGATGCACCTGGTCACAGGCATTCCTCAGCCACAGAATAGGGGGAAAAAGAACAAAATAAAGTAAAAGTTATAAGCATTTGTTAGATGGGATGATACAGCAAAAGATCCAAAACAGTAGTGAAACACCTTTCAGCACATCCTCCACAGGTATTAAGGTAATTAAAAACTCCTGTTGGTCCCTTCACCTTCCTATAACTGGCCATTTAATATTAAAATCAAATCAGAGCATCCAATACCTCCCTTCCTTTCCATCTGGCAGCAAATGAGATGGCTGCTATGCCAAAAAGACACTGAGATGAATGAAGTGTTTATGAACAGAACAACAACTGTTGGATGTACAATATAAACCAGTCACTTCTAGGAAGACAAACACAAAGTTTTCACCAAGCACAGGGCCCCAGCTTTCATCAGAACAGCAGGGAACAGAGAAATACAACAACTGGGAGCCTACCTTCCCTTCCAGCACCAATAAATCCATATAAACAACATGTATGGATGCACAATAACAATTACAAAGCAGTAAATAGTTTAGATAAGCAAAGTCTTAGGGGTAAAAAAGATCAAAAGGAATATGATAACACAATGACTGCCTCTTGCATTTCTTACTAAGATTTCATTTGACACAAAATTACCTTTAATTAAAGGGAGATAAATCTTTGCCTGTGAGTAAATCTGCCCTTTTATCAGATTTCCTTTCTGAGCAATACTCAGGTTACCTAACAATGCAATAAAGTTCCAATTGTTCAAAATGAAAGAAAACAGAATTCATGCCCTCATCATTCAGAGATTCAGGAATATCAACAAATACACAAGCCAACCCAATCTACCTGTATTATTTTCAATTTGACCAAAGGGAGGACAAAAGTCTAGATGCATTCTTAGTTCTGTATCTGATCTTTTGAAGAGGAACTGAAAAGGAAGCTCCTTTACTTGATAGTACAAACAGAATTTGAAAATACTGTTAAGGATGAACACAATTTTGCTCATATCAAGTGTGTACCACCTGTCCACTCCCTTTTCCAGCCTCCTGCTAATATGAGTCAGGTCCAAAAAGCACAAGATTTATTCTTTTTCCTCCCACTGCAGGTGAGTGAAGGATGATCAGAGTTTTGACATCATCCTGTGACCTCCTGCTCCATCCCAAGCAGGGAGTGGGCACAGGAGGAGGCAGAAACTTGCCGCTAATAAATGAGATTAGTAAATATTCCTCCTAGGAGCAAAGTGAGGCAAACTCACTGATTCCTCCTGGTCCAGCATGACTACACACCAACCTTTAACAATGTTTTCAGGCACACTCTCTAAACACAGAGTAAAATTTTCCTGCGGGGTCAGAAAGCCCAGGTTTCTGTCCAAACCAATCTAAGCATTTCTCAAACCAACCTTCTCACATTTCAAAATTAAGCTGCACCTTTCCAGCCCCAGCTGGTTGGATTTATTCACCCACACCCCAATTTGCAAGTAAGGTTTGTCTACCTAAGGTTTTTATGCAGGCAGAAAAACAACTTTATGTAGAAAAGTCAAAATTGTCCAACACAGAACTATCTGCATTGCAAGATAAAAATCACTATGAAAAGAATTTCTCTTTGGGTCTTTGAAAGGAGAGAATCCTGAGATAAAGAACATCAAGTAGTTACTCAAACATGTCTCACTGACATTATCTATTTTGCCCTGAGAAAATGTTGTAGGAACTGAGTCATGGCTAGAATGCAAAATTTTCATCCAACTGCACAAATTCCATGCCCATGGATTCAGTTTTCCCAGCGCACATTCAGAGGAGAGAGACAAATACAGTGGAACTCGGTCACCATCTGCTGGCTCTACCTACAAAATGCACATGCAGAAATACTTAATATATTACATTGTCACCTGCACTGATTGCTCATCCAAAACTGTAAATACAAAAAGGATCTGTATGTTGGATATAGGTAGTATCTTAACATGGTCACATTTAAGTAAGTATTGAATATGCAAATATTTTGTGTTTTTCAAAACAAAACAGCTTAAATATTTACCTTCAGCATTTTTCTGCAAAATTTTCAGGAAAATTAAGTTTCTTATTGCTGTGAAGATTAATTTATGCAACCTACAGAACTATCAAAATTTTCCAACGCAAATTCAGATTTCCTTAGACACAGCCCCACTCTTGGTTCAAGCATTCACTGGCAGAGCTGTGCCTGTACATCTGATTTTTAATTCCCAGAGTCCTTTAAACCAGTAACATTATTCAATTACATTTACTTGCTTTCCCTGGCATGCAATAATTTGCAGTCCAGTGAATAATTTGCAATGCAGGTCTCCAGAGAACTCACCAGAGTCTTGGGAGCCACACTGATCACCAATGTAGGCATTACTTCATTCCCTCAGGATAAAAGGGGAAAAGTGAAATAAAGCTTCACTACACCAAAAATGACTTTGGGAACTTTGACAGGCCAAGCTGAATCTTAGGTTCAGACACTGAGTGGGAAAAGACATCAAATTCCCAATATTCTACTGTGAACCAGGTAGCAAAAGAGGGAAAAAAAAGAAGGGAGGGAATAGGTAGAAGTGCACCTCAAGTGGGGACCAGCCCCACTGGGATGAAGAGGGAGGAACATGCAAATCCCACCCCAGCTGACAGTACAAATCAGGAATTCAGAGTAACAAGATGTATTTTTATACCACAAATATGGCCTTGTAGAGATATCAGTGTGCTTAATTTGGCCTAAAAGGGGAGAGTTGTGCTGGTATTTTATTGCTTCTAACACCCAGAGTGATACTTTGACTTGATGATGTTGCTCCCAGGGGCTGACACAATCTGGTCACACCCAGGCCAGGTATCCTGACATGACACAACAATAACAAAAATTCATCCAAGGTCTCAAAAAACATTTCTAAAACATTATGTACTCCTTGCTTTCATAATGTCAAATCTATTTCTTTTTTTTTATATTAAGGGTATCTGGACAGCTCCTCCCAACAATTCTCTTAACACCAAGCCCAAAGCAGAATTTATCATAACTCAGCTGGAAATTCTCCATTCTCTGCCTCTGCTTCTTAAACCACAAGTCTGTTATCAAAACCACAGGTTCTTAACAGAGCACAAGTGTAAGCAACCAGAAGAGCCCCTAATCCTCAAAAAAGGAGGTAAAGAGACCTCAGATATAAGAGTAACTTCTTAAATGATTGTTAGAATTACACACAGTTAATGGATACAGAAGAGGAAGAGTTGCATGATACTCAATGTGATTTAACTTGCAAATGTCCATCTGTCACTTGTCCAAATCACTGCTGAAAAACTAAAAACATGATTGAAAGATGAGGATAAACAGCATAAACATCAGTGTGCCTACAAGAGAACAGCTAATGGTGGCCACTTATGAAAGATGTAAGCGAAGACATTAAAAAAGCATTGGACTTCTGAAACTAAACATGTACTTCTAAAAAATGAAACAAAACCAGAAGCAGAGCAAACACTCACTTCTTGTATAGCACCTACTGAGCTTTGACTAATATTCACTCCATGTCTAACAGTGCTTCCTTCACCAAGGATTTCAGAAAAGTTAAGCATTAACTTACGTTAATGTTAAAATGGGCAAACAAGTGGAAATTCCATCCATGACTGAAATGCAGCCACATAAAGAAAAAAAAGATCTTGATAATCAGTGCAAAGTTGCACTAAGTAAGAAAATCCAGAAAGGGCTGAAGTTTTCCAAGTGTCCAAATGACCAGCTTGTCACTCCTTCAATACTGCAGGGACATCTTTCTAAGCCAACAGGAAAACAAGCCTTAATAACATAACACATTTCACCCCTTTTTCCCTGCTGTGAACAGCTCTATTCTCAGCTGCCTGGGACCCAGGATGAGGTTTAAGCTCCCTGGCTGCTGCAAATCAAAAACCTAAATCTTGCTCAGCAAAACCTGCTTATCTGCAAGGAGCCACTATTCTGCTTCCTCTAAAAAACCTGTGAGCAACAATCATAGAACAACCCCTAAATCTACCATCTGTATACTTGTTTATATCTCTAATTTATTAAGGGAAAAGTCATTAAAAACTATTTGATAAAACAGCTGCTTTCAGCATCGTGGCCTTAGACTACAGATGTAGCCTTTGACTTTCCACATTAAGTGTCTGGAACTGAAAGGAGGAGGAGGACAAGAGGAAGGAAAAGGGGATAGAGGGATGGGAGATGGAAGAAGATGTAAAGAAGTCAGAGAAGAAGACATAATGGAGAAAAGAAAGAACAGAGCAGTCTGGAAGTTCTCATTACATTGAAGCTGTTCCCGGAGTTTTTGTATATAAAGCACAAACACTGATGGTGAGTCCGTGAGGGAGTGCAATAAACTCATACAAACAGAGACATCCAGAGCCTACATCTATTAAATAAATAAACAGAAATCAAACATTGCTGAAGCAAAGACAGAAACCTTACCCATGTGCAGGTGTTGCTGAAGATGAGCCCTCCACAGAAGATATGTTACTCTCATGGTTTCCCAGCTCTCCCACCACCCACTCAGGTAAGCAGTCAGCGCTGCTGTTCCGAAATCTTGGTGAAATTGGTTCATCAAAATAAACGGACTAGAATGAGAACAAGTGCAAAATCAACATGAGAAGATATATATACACAGACACATTCTTTACACCCTTGATGTCATTTCTTGCAGGACTATCTGCAGTAGAAACACTACTTTTCCAGTGAAGTCAGAGAGGTGTGCAAATGCCACCTCCCCAGCCCATGGGAATCCACAGCAACAGTGCAAATATTTTCCAATATTTCTTACAGGGTGGGTAGTTGTAGCAAAAACTGGCATTTTTATATCACTGAAGCTGATGCCAAGGGTTGACACAGCATATTCAGCTCCTCAGAAAACAAACTGGAACTTTAACAATGTCTGTGTGAATTCTATAGTCTTCTCAGGCTACTGAAGTCACCACTTTTAAGAGCAATTTTCCTTTCACAAGAGATATCTACTGATTAGGACAAAAGAAAGCCTCCAGGGCCTTTCATTACATTTTTCCAAAGAACTAGAAAAAGATTACTTTTCTGTTCCTTCAAACACCTATTTTCATTAGCCTTCTAACCAGAAGTTTGAAAATACAGGTCACAAAATGTTTTGCCCATTGGAAGGTTTTCCGAGCATCAGTTACAAGAAATGCCTTTATTTATCACAGGCAGTTCCACTCAATCCATTCAGAATCATTTGCCACATTTGTGTGAAATCTAAGATGCAAAAGCAATTCCAGGATACATTTTAGCAAGTTTGTCTCATAAAGAAATGACACTCACCATGTAGGCAGGCAAAGTTCTCAGCATTCCCTCCTCTGGTTTTTGGCTGAAGGGACCATCCAGAACTCCTCTCTGCAGCATGTGGAGCAGCAGTTTTGCATACAAGTTTCGATTCTCCCTTCCCACTATTCCTATGCCTGTTCCTGAGGGTTTGCAGAGTTTTTTAATCCATAGTGAGCATCTTTTTCTGTCTGCAAATATAGATATACGTGGTCACTATACATTTTCAGAGCAAATCAAACACATGAAGAAAAGAGAAGCGATCACTGGTCACCAATTTTGTAGGTTTCTCCCTTCTACACCAAAGTTTAAAACAAAACAAACTCCCAAATGACCAAAGCAAATAAAAGAAATGGTTAAATACTTAGAATTAAAGTAAGTCTTTAACAATGGTTCAAACTTACATATTTCACAAACATTTTCTATAAATTCAAGTTTACCAGAAGTTTACATCATTTTTGGAAACAGCATGGAATTGGAAACACCAGGAATTCTGCACTCACTGCAAGAGCTGCCATAAACTACCACTTACAGCTTGCATGAGCATGCATGAGCTTTAAATACACAATAAATCCTCATCCATTTAAAAAAAATAAATCTCTATTTACACAAGCTTTGCTACCAGACAAGGAAATTATTCATTTGGTTAAATGTTTACACATAAAGCTCTTAATTTGTAGGGCTTGTGCATTTAATAATAACCAGCTTGTTGTAAAAATTAGATTTATACAACACCATTTATTAATTGATCTTCCTATTATTACACATTGATCTTCCTATTATTACACGTTCCTGAACAAATGTTAACTTTATAATTAAAACAAATATTTGCTATCTCAAAAACAATGCCCTTTAAAAGCTTTTAGTTTCTGCTGAACTAGGTTTTTAAAGATAGATGTTAATGTATTTATTCAAAAGAAGGTTTACATCATGAAAACAAGACAGAAAACATCCAACTTTAGAAGTTGTGCAAACCTCCCCGTCAAAAGCGTACCTTGTAATGTCAGAGATGAAGTGCCTGGCTAAATTAAGTGATACAACTACACATAATAACTGCCAGTGCCTAGGACTTCGTTATTAGTTATTAGTGTTTAAATGCACATTTTACCATATGTACCTGAACTATGCTGCAGGTTAAGCACATAGGGCTTCATAGCCACAACAAAGCGATCAAATTCCGCATCCAAGCTTTCCTTTATTTCGTCTTCACTGCTCATTTTGAAAGCACACAAAGTAACCTGCAAAATTAATGACATTGATGTAGAAAAGGTCAAATACTACATTGATGCAGAAAAGGTCAAATACTGTCTCTCTTCGTGTCAGGCCACACAAAGATGTGCTTAGAAGAATACAGGAAGTGAACCTACATGTCTTGTTATGGTCAAATAAACACGAAACTAAAACAGATTCTTTGTAAATAGCAGGTAGGCAGTGTAATCTACAAGAATGTGCTTGTTTAGCTTTGAAACTGAATAGCCAACCGCACAATAAATATATTCATTACACCCAATTTGTATAAAACACCTCAAGGCGTTTGTGTGATACCGCATTCCTAACCTGGTATTCCTTGTAATCAGAGGAGTTTCTTTCAAGAAGAGGGGGGAGAAAGGAGGGAAAACAGCAAGTAGAGCGATAGTTACAAGTAACAGGAGCAAAGATGCTGTCAGCACTGTTTTGAAGGAAGCAGCACCGCGCAGAGCAGCGCTCTTGGCTCCCGTCCGTTCACTCCCCAGCAGAGCGGGGACCTTTCCTGGCACGTTCCAGCAATGAACGCGTTCCTTTGCCAGCGGAACCGCACGGCCCGGGCCCGCCCCAGGGCCCTTCCCTGCGGCCAGCCCGGGCCGTGCCCCGGCCCGGGGCGCACACGGGTGTCCCCGGCAGCCCTCCCTGCCCGGCCGGGCCCCGCGGGCCCNCCTCAACACAACACAAAACAGCTTATGAGCATTACAGCTCAGAATTCTTTCTAAAAGCTCCCTTTTGATCAGAATTTTATTCCCCCCGATAGCAACACCGAACCTGCTATAATTTTGCAGGCATTAGATCACCACATTGCCTTTGATTTTAAAACACACAGACCCCACTTTGTGCACCAGTTTTCCATCCCATTATTGTGTGTGAGGCCTTTCCATGGGAGGCAGCAGCTGTGTCAGCAGGGCCCAGGATCCCTGCCCTGCGCCGAGCCCGGCGTGGGCAGCACCAGAGGGAGGTTGTGGCCCTCTGCCCCTCAGCTCAGAGCCCTGAGACAGAGCTGCTCCTTCAAACACCCATTTGAAGGGCAGAGCTGCCCCAGCCCTGGGCCCAGCACAGCCAGGACCTGGAGCTGCTGCACAGAGCCCAGAGGAGGCCGTGGAGATGCTCCAAGGGCTGGAGCCCCTCTGGAGCCAGGCTGGGAGAGCTGGCAGTGTTCACCTGGAGAAGAAGAGGCTCTGGAGACACCTCAGAGCCCCTTCCAGAACACAACAGGAACCCAGGAGAGCAGGAGAGGGACTGGGGACAAGGGCTTGAAGGGACAGGACGCAGGGAATGGCTTCCACTGCCAGAGGGCAAGGTTAGGTGGGATATTGGGCAGGAATTGTTCCCTGGGAGGGTGTTGAGGCCCTGGCACAGGTGCCCAGAGCAGCTGGGGCTGCCCCTGGATCCCTGGCAGTGCCCAAGGCACTCTGGAGCTTGGAGCAGCCTGGGACAGGGGAAGGTGTCCCTGCCATGGCAGGAGTGGCACTGGATGAGCTTTAAGGTCCCTTCCAACCCCAACCATTCTGTGACTCTGTGACCTGTCAGTGCCAGAGCCTGGGCTGGTGATTAAGGTGTGAGGAAAAAGGACCATTTTCAGTCATTAATGCCTACACATGAATGCTAACAAGGTGTTAGGCAGGAGATAAGTCTAACTTATTAAAAATTGCCTATGGTTGGTGAAAGGATTTTTCCCTGTAACAAAGTTGCTATTTTTGTGATCATTAAAAAGCAGAAAATACAAAAATGCAAGTGTAAAAACATTTTTGGAGAAACAGAGAATTATATTTTCCATTACAAAAACACCTTAACGGAGTTTCTGCAGATGAGCTGTGAGGCCCTCAGCTTATATCAGGGCCTACTACAACAAAGAACAATTTTGTGTAAAGAAATGCAAATGTACCAAATTTTCCATTTTGTATTTCCATTAGAGAACCAGAAGATTATTCTTCATCCCCAGTCAAACTTCCATATATTTGTAGTTACTGATTTAAAAGGTGCACAGGGGAAAAAAAACAAAAAACAAAAAAGGTTATAATTTCCAAACTACTTCACTTAGACAAAAGATAAAAGTAATTCCTGAATGTCAGTAGCACAAATTTTGGTGTTTGTGTTTCTGCTGAAAACAGGGGTGACAATATATTCCACATATGCAAAACAACTTACAAATTGTTACAAGAGATAGGAGGTCACTGTTCCTATTTAGCAATAGAAAAGCCCAGAAGGACTGGCAGGTGTTCTCCTCACTTTAATACACATCTTTTAACCATTCCCTGCTGTGGCAGCACCACTGAATCCCACATCTTTCTATGTCCCCCCTCCAAATCCTCACAAGTATGGATCTGCTGCAGCAGATCGATGAAACCACTGCAATTTGTACTGCACATACTTCCCTTAAAACAGCTTTAACTTCCCCCAGTGAATACCAAGTTAATAAAACATATTTGAGAATATATTTGAGCGTGGTTTTCTCTGTACAGAGCCAAATCCTACATTCAGCCCACGCTGTCCTCAGGCGAATTTCTCTCTCAGTTCTGAAGGTCTCCAGCTTTTCTAAACACCTTCCCAGCAGTGACTACAGCATCCAGGATCCTGCTCAGATACCACACCTGAGACACCTTCTTCTGTTTGTTATTTATTTTTGCACTGAGCAAACAAAAATATTCATTGGTGATTTGCTCTGCCTCTTAATTTAAGAAAACAGCTTCAGCTTTGAAGCTGCAAGAGCCAAGGAGCCAGATGCTTCTACTGGAAATAACTTTCAGGGCTTAAAATATGGCTTCTGTCATCAGAGCTCAGGAGAAAAAACAGGAAAAAGTCCTCGTTTAACTGGTCACCAGCTTTGCTCTCCCCTGGCTGAGTGAGACTGGGAGCAAAGAGAATGTGAGACTCTTGGGAATTATTAATATAATATAAATTTTTAATATAAAATGTACAGGTGCTTAAAGCTCATTTGATATTTTCCCTCTCAGAGCTGCAGCGCAGAAAAGTTTTATTGCATTCAGAAAAGTGCAATAAAAGATCAGACTTTGAAATCAGACTTGTGCTGCCTCAAAATCAAAAATAGCCCAGAAGGGCTGAGGCTGGTTGGGATCTCTGAGACTCCTGAGCTCAAACTGGGCTCTAAGTGGGAAAAATGAGCAGGGTTTGGTTCATGGGGTTAATCCTCCCCAGCTGCCAGACACTTCAGAGCTCCAAATCCACCTGCCAAGCACCCAAATAAATCCCCAGGCTGGCACACCAAGAGTTTCTCCCTGCAGTGGAGGAGGACAGGGATGGCATGAGTGTGCTTTCCTACTTGGTGAGAAATTACACCCAGGCTCTTTCCAGGAATCTACCTCCAGGCAGAATGTGAGGTTTGGAGTGACTCAAAGGAATAACGGAGAAAGAATTCATTCATTCAATCCTCTGACACCTGCAGGATGGGAAACCTGAACATACTGGGAGGTGTTCAGAGCATAAATAGAGTTGTATTCAACTCTACAATAACACTGTAAGGTACTGGTGGGGTAGGGAAATAGAGACAAAGCAAAAATAACAAAAATACAGGTGGTTTAACCTCTGCAAACCCTGCTGTGCCTCTGCCAGACCTGCACCAGCACCTGAAAGCGGCTGCAGGACAGCAAGTTCAAAATCCAGCCTATTCTTCCCTGGGTTTGAGGCTTGGGATGACATTCAGAAAGGAAGGATGAGTCTTCAGTGCTGTAAAAGTCTTTTATTATTCTAAATGACACCCCAGCCAAAAACGACAACAAAAATCTCTTTTCCCATTGTGTTACTAAGACCACTTTCACTCTTTACTACTCTAAGGAGAATTAAGAAAGTACACAAACAGAAAAAAACCCTCTCTTTAAAGAAAATTGAAATTTTTCAATCAGCTGTCTCTTCTCTGTAATTGTATAGAAGAACATAACGTGAACACAGTGCAAAATGATTCAAAGGCAGATTTTTCAGTCCCCTCCTGGAATTCACAGTAAATTATTATTTTTAATTAGAAGAAACAGGTGGTCATTGAATCAACTGATTTTGATTGCTGCCTTTTGTTCATGTTCTTGTATAGAATAGAACTGATTGAGTTGGCAAAGGGAGAAAGAAGATCTGCATGACTGTGCTCCCAGGGATTTGTAATTTCCTAATTACTAGAAAGACACATAAATCCGGAAGGGACTCAGTGTTTACTGGGTTTTTTTTATTTTCTTCATTCTTTTTTAATGAAGAAACTGCAGTATAATTACAGAAAGTGCACAAACGAAAGATCCTGTTAGAAAATGATTCACAACTAGGAGGAATGGAGAGTTTGTTTCAGATACAACTCACTCTCGTGTTACTATGTACAAATCATTTCAACAAAGATGAAATCCAGGGATCTGGATTCAGAAGGAGTACTAGAAAGCCAAAGACAGTCTCTATATGTCTTGATTAAACCCCCTCATTTATTAGCTTTATAATTTTGTAATTTGTTAATTAATTTGTCGGATACAGATTTTCAACACAAAGCACCCTTTACACCTTGAATATATATTACAAAATACAGGTTAAACTGATCAGAAGCAGGAAGTAATTTTAATAAATTCCTGCTGTATAGAGGAGTATTGGTATTTCTCCATAAGTACAATATGGTGAATTGTCCAATATTCCAAATTACAGTGGAGTTGCTATGCTTTTCAATGGATCTGCAATGGGATTGGGTGCAGTGATAAAGGACTTAACTGTGTAACATCAGGTTGCATGAAAATTATTCTATATTAATATACTTCTGTACAGTAATTTCTCAATCCTTCTTAAATATTTCAGTATGTTTGAGTACAAGACCTTCCCATCATTTCTTAAATATTTCATTACTGCCCAACTTGCTCATGATAGAGATGATACAACTTTTTCCTCATTATCCTCAGCCAGAGCTCATATCATTCCCTTAAACAGAAAAGGAAAGGAGGTAAAGGCTGAAAACCAATATCATCTAAAATGCCCCATTTCCCTGCAAAAATGGTGACCCTGAGGGCAGAGGAATCAGTTCAAACAATTCAACATGTGCTGGAGCTGGAACGCTGCTCCTACAGGGAATTGCATGAATGTTGATCCAAGAATTCAGGGGGAAATGGGATTGGCTCCAGCCAGCCTTTAGGAAGCAATCACAGCCCTAAATGAAGTTCACTGTTGGTAAATTAAAGTTTCAGAGTCTTTGTGACCCTGAACTTCCTGACCACAGCCAATGGCAAAACCAAACGAAACTCCAGCTTTTGTTTGTAAAGCCAAACCTGCCCTTGGCTACTCCTCTCTCAGGTGGTTCGAATGAAGTTTTTTACAATTGTTAAGTGATAAATTCAAGCCCAGAATCCAGAGCTGAATTGCCAAAAAACATCCCAGAGCGCAGTGGGAGCGGCGCTGTGAGCGCAGGTAAGGAATGCAGCTCGCTGAGCTGCTGCCTTTGCCTCTGAGCTGATTCAATATGCAAGGCCCTGAATAATAACTGGTTTACATTTCCCACTCCTCCTCCGTTTTCCCCTCTAAAATGGTGAAGAACCCACCAATTTATAGAGGCACACCTTACTTGTTCTCACTAAACCCTTACCCACCTATTTACATCGCTCCTTCTCTTCTTCCCACCTCCCACAGCAGCAGCTGCACGCTCCAGCAGATTTCCAAGAAAAGACAT